CCTGTATTGTGAGCTTCCGGTCATAAATTATCACCTTTCTTTTTTACATTTTTAATTCCTACCAGCATGTCACCTTATTCCAGTTTTCCACTTTGTGTTGCTGAAATCCTACTAACTCTGTGTAGATTATTACTCCTACTATCTCTCACTGTGTCAATGCACTATTCACATTTGTTCTCATGTCCTGGTTTAAGCCAGGATGAAGCCAATTTTCTTTTTACTGATTTTTTATTTTATTTTTCAGTGAGCTCTCTTTTAACTAGAAGCGAGTTTTCCAGCTAGTGGACTGGTAACACTGTAATGTTTACGTTACTGCTGAGATGCCAAGGTCACTTCACTCTACTTGTTGAATCTGCTGTCTCAGATGCTACAGAAGCAGAAGAGTCATATCTGCAGCCCTTCTGTAGGGAGGAGTGGACTAGACAGACAGCAAAAGTATTCCATTCTATATATCTACGTAAGCTTGGTGAAGGTCAGGGATCATGGAAGTCAAGTCCCTTCCTGCTTCTTCTTCCCTTCTCTTCTGTACATGGTCAGCATCCGGGGAGGACTCCATCTCTCAATCACCTTTGATCCCTAGGCCTGTGCCTTCCTGACCCTCATCACTCTCCCCTCAGCTCCTGTCTGCTCTGCTGCTCCCTCCAGCAGCTCCAGGACATTTCGGGACTGCTCACAGCTCAGGAGATGCTGTGGGAGTTGTGGTGGTTAGGGGGAGGTGACAGGGTTTTGCACATTCCCAAACACATTTGTATACAATTGTACATATTTTCTGTTATCATTAGTGTTTAATTAAAGCTGTGTCGTTTAGTTTTCAATCCAGAAAGCATCCTCAATTCTCTATCCTTCCCTACCCGGGCGGGAGGTGTTCAAAAGCATTGTTGTTGCTGATTTAATTGCTGATCCTGAGTCAAACCATGACATCTCTGACAGGGACACAGGATTTTTCTTGTATCAGACAGACTTCCCAAATATTCTGCTGAAGTATCTTGTCTCCATCTGTCTACAGAATTTTCCAAGGGAACAGAAAAACAGTCCACAAGGAACCTACTCAATTATGCAATTTCCTATATAAGGTGAGCAGACAGCAATTAGGTGGTGACTCCCACAGGCAATGGCACACGGCACGGTACAGATGGACTTACTGGTTTATTTGCTACATAATTCATCTGCACTTCCAGAAACTCCCTGCCTAAATCACCATCACTGGTTTTCTGCTGTGTAAGTCTATCCTTCTGTTAGAAACATTCGCTTTTCTAAGTGTGTGTGGACTAGTTAAGATAAAGCTTTTTCTTCTTTATGGAATATGCCTGCTTGGTTTGTCCAGTATCATTCCACTTACTGAACTCACTGTATCTTTGAAAGACCCAGAGACACACAGTAAAGTTAGCTTCTCTAGAAACATTAATATCTACCACTTGTAAATACACTGGTTTCTCTAATTCTTTTCTTTTTTTTTTTTCTTTATAGATTTTCGAATTCTGGAATATGCCTGCTTGGTTTGTCCAGTATCATTCCACTTACTGAACTCACTGTATCTTTGAAAGACCCAGAGACACACAGTAAAGTTAGCTTCTCTAGAAACATTAATATCTACCACTTGTAAATACACTGGTTTCTCTAATTCTTTTCTTTTTTTTTTTTCTTTATAGACATTCTAAGAGTTTTGTGATTACCAATTCTGTTTTTCCCTTAGGCCAGAGTTTTGACCAATAACTTTTTAAACTGACTCTTACAATCTAGACATTCCTTTTTGTCCATAGTTTTTTCATTATGATGTGTTGGTTTTGGTTTTTTTTTAATTTTGTTGAACTATTCTGGAACGTTTAGTTTCATTTGTCACCTTACGAACATGGAAACAGGTTGTTAATTTCAACAAGTTTTAAGTAGTCAAATATCAGAAAAAATGAAATGTTTTTAAAAATAATCAGACTGTTGTTACAATTGTGTGGTTTGGGGGTCTTTTTCTTCATTTGATTTGTAAAAACTATTGAATACCCCACATCTACTAATGAAATGCTGGAGTTTACATGACGTTTTAATGCATATTTAAATTGATTAAAACTTTCATCAACTATTCTCATGTTCTTAATTTATAATAAATGCTCATTTTTCCTTGTTTGTTGCTTCTGTATTTCTCAGAATTCAGATTTTGTACGTTTTAAGACATGAAAAATCAGTGAATTCTGGACTTACCCAGGTAGCCATCTGATTAGCTGTGCTAGTTAGTGACTGGTGAAAATACCTGCTTCATACAATTATGTAGAACATGTTGCTTCACAATAAATCTTGTTTGGCTAGCAGTTTTCCTTTTTGAATTATGCATGATGGTCCATCTGGGAAGAAGCATTACTTTCATATTGCCACTATCAAACTGATGGCAAAATGTGCAGGAGTGACACTGAGACAGAATCAGAAGTTAAGGAAACCCAGACTCCTCACTCCTCTAAACGCTAACAGAAATTCTTACCCTGAGCGTCTCAGTATTTCACCAAACATTTAATTATCCAAAAATGATGTTCTTCTGTTGTAAATGTGGCACATGTGAATTTGCATCTGACAACTTGTTAGTTCAGTCAGTGGGACATGGTGTATTCAAATGATTGTCACATGCAATTATGTCATTCATATGAGTATGTCATAATGTTTCATGCTAGCTAACACAGTGGTGCTGTTACATGCTGATGATGAGCAGCCCTTTCTGTAGTTAAAATTGCAGAAAAGCAGAAAGGAATCTGAGAGAATCTGTTTCCAGCAGCATTGTTTGTGAGAAAAACTGGTGGGATTTTTTCAGTCTTGTTATGTCTGAGAAACTTTTAAATTTCTAGTTTGTTTTCATTCTAATGGGTGGCATCTAACCATTTTTAGCTTCCAACTCCTGTTGTGAAGTTGTGTAACTAAAAAACGTCTCAAAACTATGATTATTGTTACAATTAGTTTTGTTCAGACAGGGTAATTAATCTTCTACAAGGTATAGAGGTAGCTGTTACTTCAAATAGTCATTGTTCAGGTTTAACACAAGACAAATGCAAGGAAAACCCAGGGTTTTAGCAGGCAGATGATTAAAGCAGAGTCTTGAGAAACAGCACAGAGAAGAAAGGTCATGAAGACATGACAATGTAAGGAAAACAATTGTGTAGTAAACTGCTAAATACCGGGGAAGGGAAAAGACCAGAAAAGGAAGCAAATTGAACTAAAGACCCTTGAGAAAATAATTTTTAAACATCAAGTACAATAGGGATGGAGAAGGAAAAGCATATAGTTGGGAATCTGGGGTGCTGCTGGTGCTGTGCTGCACAGAGCCATGGGTCCCACACAGCCTCATCCCTCTGTGAACACTGCAGCCATTTCACACTTGAATTGCAAGTAAAATGAACTTCTACAATGTACCTGAACCTAGAACATTGTATTACCCTGCAAGCCCTAAAATGCTAAATATGTGATGTTCCTTCTCTTTCTTTCACCTGCCCACATTTTCTACTGTTCTTGACAGTGATGGTAGGAAGTGTCTGTACTCCTCTAGTTTTGGTTTTATCAGTGACACATTTGTTGTATCACAGAAGTAAGACCTGGTCAATGGAGTCACACAGCAATAGAAAAGATGAGGCATGGTGGCATCTGGTAGAGGTAAGAGAACAGATGTGGGTTTCCATGTGAGTTGGTGTTGTGACAGCCTCTTGGGATGGGCCATGTGGTGCTGACTTCCACTCCCTGGGAAGGAGCTCCTAAGACCCTTCTCTGATGAGTAACTCCTGGGAAATGCCATCCAAACTCCAGACTCATCTTACTCATACAAGATGAAGTAACATGATTAGTCAATTCTAAAAGTATTTCTGATACAATTACCTTATTACTTGTTCCTCACACCAGAGGTGGTACTTCACAGAGAAATAGAATTAACTGATCCCTATAAATTTCAGGTTCTCTTAAAATTGAAATTTGTGTTTTAGAAGATAAAAGGGCTCCTGTCACTTTTGCTGTATCTTGTTTCCTAAGTATGCAAAGCATCTCCCCCCCACACACAGACAAACCACCTATCTAGGTGTCCTGAGGCTTTTTGAGTCTACTGGGAGTAATAGCTGCATTCTTCTTGTAGCCAAAAAACGTTTAACATGTCCTACATGACTCACCAGGCTATTGTGATCTATCCGTAAATGTTCCTGGACCAGCTTTGGTGATGTATGGACAATCTTTTGGGAAGCTGCAGGCAACTGCAAGGTTCTCTGGGCACTGTGTAAAGGCACTGTGTAATTTGCCATATCAGCAGTGAGTTTCCATGCATTATGCAGGGAGGTTGAGTAATGAATTCCAAGCAAGCAGTGTCACTCAGAACTTCTGAAATGAAAATGCTAATCATGGCTGTAAAGAGCATGAGTGGATTGAGGTTCTTCTTGTATGACTATTTGTAGGTAATTAGTATGGACTCATGTGGGGAAAATCCTACTTTATGTACAGTGTGTGCTGGAGAAAAGGTTCATATTGTGACCTGGGTTACTACAAGTTCCTAAGAGGTAAACCTTGATCGGGGAAAATATTTATTAGCATTTTTTCTTTTTATCTGTAAATGTACCTGTGTGGCTACTCTGCGCCCTTTGAGCTCTGGTATGATTTAATTTCACACTGCAGTCACTTAGTATAATGAAAGGTCTTTCACCATATCTCCCACTACAGCCCCCATTCATAAATAAATGTATATCACAGATACAGATCACAGTAATCCGTTCTGCCTCTCAACTCATCTTGCAGCTTAGCCAAAACCTTCAAGAAAAACACTACACTGAGTGTTTTCAAGTGCAGCACATCCAGGGTCTGCAGATGGAGGCTGGGCATACCCACTGCAAATTAGGTATGTACAGAATCTGTCACCCAAGTGCTAATTTTGGTTTGGGCTTCTAGAGGCTACTTCAATTAAAACAACGTTAGAAAGTGTGTGAGGTTTCTTATTGTCACTGGAGAATAATGAGATTGATGATTAGATTAAGTGAAGGTATCATTTCCCAAAAATGGCCTTGAAGCTGAGGGGATATGACCAGGTAACTAGAAAATAGATACTGATTTAGCTACTATTAAAAATATATATAAATCTCCTTTAGATTATTAGTAAAGGAATAGAAAACACCAAAATGGCAGTGTACATATGAGGTCCTTGTGTCACCCCTATCTTGGATACTGAGCAAAAAGATCTCATCTCAAAAAACCCGTAAAAGTGGAAACAGCTTGGAGAAGTATGGGTTTCTCTGGAGTGTGTGCCTGATGAATGGCACACACCTCGGATTTCTCAGTCATCTGTAAGTGTATGCTCTAGTTCTGTCCTGAACATTGTGGTCAGGGCAGTGCCTGGATCGGCAGCTGACAACTCAGTGAATATCACTGATGAAATCAATTTTAGCTGCTTGATATCAAAGAACTTTGTTGGGATTGAAAGTTTACTGTTCCTCCTGTCCGAGCTGTCTTTGTATGGTTCTGTCAGACAGTATCACGTGCTTGCGTTATGCTAACCTTGATTGGAGTAACTTAACTTAGAAAACAGGGAACATGAAAATCGCAGTCCTGTAACTACCAGAATTGCCTTTGGCTTTCGTTATTTTTTGAAGAATCGCTTTAGGAGTTATTTTTCCACGTGAAAGGGCTGTAACTTTTAACAAGATAATCTGTATAAAACCATACGTCAGTTTTAGAAATGTCTTCATAGAAATCCTGTTCCGTCTGGGGAGCTGAAAGAGCAGAGCAACCAGACAGAACGTCATGTGTGAGCAGAGTTCATTTTACAGAGGCTCAGTGCTCCAGTTGTTTCCTGTAAACTGCAAGGTTTATCATAAATGAAAAGTATCAGGTGTCCTGGGTGTCCGTTGCTTTGGGTGCAATGGGGCAGAACACTATAGGTGCAGCACCCTTTCATGAGCTTCTTGTGGAGAACAGAACTTCCTTTCCGTGAAAAAACAACCTGGTCTGTTACACCAGTGGACTTGCATTAGTGGCATGACTGCTGGCTGAAGAAGTGCTAGCACAGTAAAGGTAGGCTGTGGTTCACTCAGCCGCGTGGAACTGCACCATTAACCATTCGGGTGAAATACCATGTATGCAGATTGTGAAATATCCCAACAGAAACAGTTTCTTAGAGACAACGTACATTGGCTCGTCAGAGTTGTTTTGCCGCTGGCATGCTGATGGGAGAGCTTTCTCTGTCCTCACAGAACGGGACCAAACCAAAGACATTCTGTGACATTAACAATTTGAAAAAATTATGAAGGTCTTATCTACAGAATCAGGTTGGCAGCTGCAGTGGATTTCAAAGTAATTTCTGAATACAACTAAAATATGTACTATGTATTTGGATCTAAGTTACTAAGTTGGGAAAAGTGATAAACGTTGTTTTCATATAACACATGAACACTATGCCCCTTTATAAACCATTCAACCTGGACTACTTCTACTCATTTTTGCACTCCCTCAGGCAGGTTTCCTGGCGCAGCCGATGC